TCCACTCATTTCTACAGATAGTAAACAGATTGCAGTACTAGGGAGCAGATGTATTTTTGTGTATAGAGTTGGTGTTTGTATGTAATTTTATCGTTTTAATACAAGGATATGTTTGTATGGAATGTTAGCATTTGCATATAGTGTTGGATTTTAAATGTGGTGTACATTTGTGGGTAGTATTGGTGTTTGAATGTTACTATATAATTATGGAGTTAGAATTCAGGGGTGTTTTTTATGTCAATTTGTGTTTGCAGGAGTGTGTGTTGTGTTTGATTGGTGGGATGTCTGCACATGTACTGTCATATACATACTTACACATTAAGTGTTGTCGTATACACATTAAACACAGACGCGCACACACTGACACAGATACACACACCTTGACACACAGACACATACACTGACACAGATACACATACAGTGTGTATCTGTATGTCAAGGTGTGTGTCAGTGTGTGTATCAGTGTGCCTGTGTGTAACTGTGTGTGTGCCAGTGTGTATCAAATTGTGTATATCTGTGTGTATGTGCCGGTGTGTGTATCTATGTGTCAGTGTGAATCTGTGTGTGTGTATGTATCTGACACACAGATACACATTGGCACATAGTGGCACACAGATACACACATTGGGAGATACAAACACTGACACAGGTACACACACACATAGACACATACACACACACGTTTAAATTTGCTGATCACTTACCTTTTTTCTGCAAGAGGATCTTCCCTACTGCTGGCTGAGGTTGGTGTGTTGCTCAGTCCCTGCTGCTCCCTGTCTCCCTCCAGGCGGCTTGCTCTGTCTGGGAGGATGTGCTGTCACTTACTCCCAGCACCAATACTACAGGGGTCCGGTCACGTTCTTAGATACTGCGGTGCCTGACCAGACCCCTGTTTAGCAATACCCATCAGGTGGCCCTAAATACTTGTGCCACCCAACAGGCAAATCACGGCTGAACCCCAATTTTGTTCTCGCGGAACCCTAGTTTTCCACGGAACACCAATTGGGAAATGCTGCACTATATTAACATATAGTTTTTTTTTGGGTTCTTTAAATGGTCCTTTTGTAAAGTACCAGCTTGATCTTGGCTTTGAAGTGGTGGAGTCCTGTGCTAAATAAAGTATTTTATTTGAGCACTTACAAAAGAAATAGTGAAAGTGAATCTAATAGTTGAAGGAAACAATAGTGTGAAAACAATATATTTATTTTTTCCAACAATTTTTTTGAACGGAATTAATTACATTAAGCATCAGGTGCATGTTCTGCAGGTTACAGAAACTCAAGTTTTGTTATTTGAAAATGTTTGCTAGTGGTTTTGCAAGTTCAATCTCAACTTTCTTTAGCTGTCTTTATCCAATTCAAATCTCAGCATGCCTTCTGGTCCCATAGACTTATCAACATTTATTTTACAGCATTCCAAATAATAATTTCCCATGATGCTCAAGTAGCTGCTTGACAGCTTCTACAACATGAGATGAATTTAATCCATTTGTTGCCTGCATCTGTCTAAAGAAATGGATAGTGGGAGATAAAGGTAAATAGGTGGAGTAAGAGAGGCCAAAAGTAGATGGTATGAGGACAATGAGATTAGAAATATTAGAGAACATTGGTGGGATCGACGAAAGAATAGGATAGGGCAAAGGTAATTGAACAAGCATAGCATTAAGAAGAGCGAGAATGTGTAGATACATTGAATAGAGGCAGAGACCACTGTAAGAGTGGAGAAAGCAATAGGAATGGACGGAAGGGAAATAAAGCATTGATTGAGAGGAGAAAGCAATCAAATATATGGCGGAACAATGACAAAGTGTAATGAAAGAAGGAAGGATGTAGTTGAAGATGGGTAGCATGCAATAAAAAATGGGGAGAGTGCAATTAAATGGGTAAGTCAATGTAATATAGAGGAGACCCATGGCAGATTGGGGTAAGAGCAATAGGAAAATGTGTAAATGCGAGATGGGGAAGAGCAGGGCTAAATGGGGCCATCGAAGAGAAGAGAGACAAAGTACAGATAGATTTATGTCAGTATTTAATAAACTGCTAGATTATTATTCATTTTATTCTAAATTGCTATTTTTTTTCTTCACATTTTCTCTTGTAATTGGTTTGACATGTTTAGAGGGAGTTATTTATGCATAACGTATCTATTTTTCATAGAATTTCAGGAACAATGAATTTTAACATCCTTCTGATTGATTATCTAGACCTATCTTAAGAATACCATCAACAATTTATCTCTGAGCAAGATTTATAGCCAGAAACAAATTTTAAGATGTAGCTGACATTCTATCTTTTTCAGCAGTTTTAGATAATAAAAATATGTCAAGTAAATACATTTCTGTGCCCCAGCTAAAGGCTTCCCCAAGGTTATAAAATGTAACTTTTAGCAAAAATTGCAATTTTGGTAATAATGTTAGTTTGTACAAAGTCATTTTAACTTGATTTTAAGTTAATTATGTTATTAGAAAATAAAAGTATAGAAAATCCATTAAGTAATATTATAAATCTGTAATAAGTTCAGAACTAATGATGGAAAAAAATAAGATATGCTTGAAAGATTAACAAACTAAAAGAAAAATAATAAACTAGAACTACAACTGCTTATTAGGTCAGTATGGTAAATTATGTTTTCCATTCCAAGCTGTGCTAGTTCTTTTTAAGCAGGGATATCATTAAAAAAAGGAAAATAACATAATTAGCATCTCTGCTACAGTCAACATTTTCCAAAATAGGCAAAAGCTTGAGAAATATGTGAAAATGAAAGATAGCAAAACAAAATGCTAAACTCCACTGTACAATATAAAAATATAACATAAACATGAATAAAAGATTAACATTTTTTAAATATCATTTATGTGTGAGATCAAATAGTTAGTCTCTACGGTAATCATCAATGTTTTATCTGGAAATTTATGTTTCAGGATTTACATTTTCCAAGTATGTGAACAACAAAATTGTTGACATTTAGTTTCTTGTAATCAGAAATACATCTGAAATATATTCCACAAAGAATGAGTGCAAGAGTGTGGAGAAGAAGAGAAAGGAAGTAAGTGTATCTAAATAAAATAAATAGATAAATAATGGAAGAAGAGGAGAGATAGAGAAAGAGAGAAAATAAAAACATATAAATAAAATAAATGGATAATTATTGGGATGTAAAAATATTCAAGGAAAATAAACAACTTCTTACAACTTCTTAATAACAAGCACATCCAACTCTCATTCCTTCACGCTTTTCTCTTGAAGGGAGCCAGTATCCTTTTTCCTGGTGCTTATGCATGCCTGTGTGTGTTGCTGTCTGTATCTGTGTGTACTTTTTTGTGCCTGTCTGCGTACGTCTCTGCCTGTTTATACTTATCTATGCATTTGTGTGCCTGCCAGTGTCTGTCTTTGCCTGCCTGTCTGTATCTGTGTGTGTCTATCATTGCCTGTCTGTGTCTCTGTGTGCTTTGCAGTTTCTGTCTATGCCCAGATTGTCTATGTGTGTTTGTCTATGTCTATCTGTACTTGTACGTGTCTGACTGTATCTGTGTGTCTGTCTATGCCTGTGTGTACATGTCTGTCTCTGTGTATGACTTTCTGTGACTGTATGTATCAGACTGTGCCTGTCTGTGTCTTTGAATGTCTGTGTGTGTGTGTGTGCCTGTCTTTGTCCATTTTTGCCTACATTCGGCCATGCTACATTTGTTATTTAGGTCAATACCTCTTGCCTACATTTGGCTGCATTTTATTATATTTTTAAGCCTTGTTCAGACACACATATCTGTCTTAGACATTTGCATTATCATTTGTTACATCATCAGTTAGTTTCCAGGTAGCTTTACCCATTTATTATTCATGCGCTGCATCCTTAAGTGTAATTTATACTAAGTTTCCTACTTGTGCTTTTATAATCCAACCTATTGTTTTTTAATTGTTGCTGACTTTACTAGTTTTGGATTACTACAGCACACTTCAAACTAAACCTCTCACACCTAATAGTAAATTATGTTATTATTTATCATCTGCTATGTACTTTACATCTAAAGTCACGAAGTTGCCAGAAATGAACCATTTTAAAAACAAAATTGGTGTGTATCACACCCTTGTGTCACCTAATCAAAGCGTAACACACACCACACACAGCAGTACTTAGCATTTATATGAATGATGCAGCGTCCCAGGTGGTTTTCCCAATTAACCACCCCTCTCAACAGCAAATCTACACACAATATTGGGATTCCGCTATGCATCTAAAACAATGATAAATAAACAGCGCATAGTAAAGTATATCTAAGTACAAAAAAAGTCTGCGTTGTAGGTATGCACTCACTAGAATGTACAACGTTTTGTGCCTTGAGGTGCCTCCCCTGGTTATGGCTGGAGGGCTATCACCTTCGTGACCTTCTCTTCACCAGTAATGTGGCCCAGTGCTGGCAATAGGATGGAGCCTGACCACTGAGCCAACAGGACGTATGCAGACATAGCTCTCATCCTTTTGCAAGATCTGAGCAGTGATCACCCCTACAGTGAGATATCTAAGTAGGGGACGTCTTGATTAACCTGGAGATACAATTTTTATGCGGTTTACGTGATGGAGACCAGTGCAGCAACTGAGCTAGCTCTAAAGTGACACAAATGACCATATATCGCTCCTATCCCCCTTCCACCCTCTGGACCGGTGAGGATTATCCTGGTTCCCACTACGTAGAGCAATAAGTGTTTTTCTTCTCAACACGCAAGATCACTCCCACACGCTGAGAAGCCATGACAGCACTACCTAAATTGGTGGAGGCAAATGTTCCTGGGCTTCAAAGCCTGTCACTGGACTGCTCTGACAAGAAGGACTTTGTTGATCGAATTTTAGCAAGGCTAGATGCCATATTCGAATGCTTTTGGGCTCAGCTAGCATAACGGGAGGAAGCATCACACTCTTTACTGTCTGGGAGAGCTCAGAGAAGTTGGTGACAAAGCGACACACCCTCCCAAGCTGGAGCTCCGGTACTCACCTGCCCCCCTTAGCGGAAGACCAAACGGGTCCTGCGCACACCACACCTTCCACCAAAGCAGGGGACCACCAGCCGGCGACGGCCCCAGACCATCCAGATTCTTCGACTCTACCCTTGTGGGAAGAACTCAGGCTTAAGGGGCTGTTGGGTCCATGGCACAGGGGAGTTGGCCTCATGTCTACCCCCATGCTGCACAGATTATCAACCCAGCCTGGACTTACCCGGAGGCACATCAATTCTGCCACTCATGGGGATCGGTTGAAATGGGCAGAGAGCCTGCTACCTGTGTTCCAGCCAGACAGGGGCAGCTGCTATATGCACTGTGCAATGTGATTTCTCTGACTGCTTTATTTTTTCTCTTTGTATTATTTCTAGTGCAGTGAGATCATTCATAAATTCAGAGGTTTGTTCTCCTACTAGTAATACCAGACAACCTGTTACTTCTTTGTTTATATGAAACCTAGTATGTAGTACTAAGCATGTTTAAGGTCTAGCCTGTTTATCTTTAGTCTGTCTGGACTGGCTTGCCCTCCCATTATACAATTCAATGGCATCGCATCTTTTACTATGTTGTATCAACTAGTTAGGCCTGATGTATGTCATTGTTTATTACTTTACAAAATTGTGCCGGAATTTTGACTGCCACAATCAGTACATTTGTGTATGCTTGTTTACCGGTGGCATTACAAGGCTGCATGTTATTTGGTGCACAGCAAAAATAAAGAATGGAAAAGAAATAATAATGATATTAAATTAAAATCGGTCCTATGCGTTTCCTCTACCCAATCGGACTTCCTCAGGGTCACAATGAAATATAATAAATATAAATAAAAAACAATCACTCCAAAGTGAATATGCAACCTGAATATCCCTCCATCCTATTGTCTTTATATAGGGCTATTCTCCAGAAGTCATTGGTGGGTCATCTAGTAGGTGTTTTCCTTACTCTCCTCTTCATAGAAACAGTAAGAAAAAATAAAGTTTTTTTGTACTTTGATATACTTCACTATGTGCTGTTTATTTATTTTTGTTTTAGATGCATAGCAGAAATTAACCATTGCAATATTTATGGCCCCAATACTGCAACTCCTGTCATTCTCAAACCAACATATTTGGTTTATTTGTAGTGAATCATAGTCCTTCATACTGAATTTCATTTTTAAATGCTCAGCAGGAAGTTTGGATTCAGTTCACAATTGATTACTATTTTTTTAAGAAGCTCTCAATGACACCTCTACTAAATTGGGTATTTTTAAGTCTATTAACTGCTGGTTAAGTTACATCTCAAGTTCATTATTAATTCCTATTCATTAAGAATGCAGTTTAAGCTTTACTGTATGTTTTGGACTGTATTGAGTCTTGAAAGGCCTCTGTACAGGCCAAAGCATTGCTCACTGCTTCGATAAATCCGCTGTGTGCAATATGCTGAGTGCATATTACAATTTTCACTAATGATCTTCATTGTACCTTGAATACACGCTTTATATCATTCCATTTTAATTATGGATTATGACCACCAGTCAAACACATTTACTACAACATGGCTCGCATTTTACATGTAAACAAAAGATATGTTTGAAGTTTTCCTTCAACGGTATTTGAAACTTTATAAATACCATTTGATTTTCTTCTGTAAGTAGTGACATTCACACAAACACAACTGTATGTCTTTTCTGAAAAACACACTTGTCCCACTCCACATGTAGACTACACAATATGGGAAGGAAGAATTGAAGCAAGGATCTGAGAATAAATTGATATTGTGGCAGAGAAGCATATTTGTACCTTTGATAAATACAAACTGCATGCGTTTGAAAAACACTTGGGCTTAGTAAGAGTTGCTACAGTTGTAATCACAATTATTCACACCCATTCAAAATCAGGTTTATTTTCAAAATGTACACACTTTCAGCTATTTGCAATGAATGAATCAAACAAAAGCTCAACACAATTAATTTTTCCAGTGGTTTCCACAAATTCAACTTAAAATGCAACTTATAATGTCTTCTCCAATCTCAGAATTATTCAACTTCTTCAATAGAATCCCTCATGACAGCATAAAAATGCAAAGCAATTGTTGTATCAAGCACACATGATGCAACTAACCAAAGGCTTCAATAGTTGCACTAGGTGTGCTTGAGCTGAACACTTGAAATACCTCAACTGGCTAGGTGTTTTTTGAGTGTCACGTTTGAATGCATATTAGAAATATGGCTAAACCAAAAGAATGATCCACAAAGTTAAGAGAAGAGATAATTTCTCTTCCCACAGCATCCTCACACACAGCACTCTCACACACATCACCCACAGCACCCTCGCACACATCACTCTCGCACACATCACACATCACCCACAGCACCCTTGCACACATCACACACAGCACCCTCACACACATCACCCACAGCACTCTCACACACATCACTCACAGCACTCTCACACACAGCACCCTCGCACACATCACCCACAGCACTCTCACACACAATCCACAATTGTATCCACAATTGGATTACAGGGTACACTTTTTATGGTCCCCAGATCAGGTTATCATAACTACCCACTTTTGCTGTATATATTGTACATATTCATTAGCCCTTTCCTATTGCACAGATTTTGAGCATTCCCTTTAATATAATTGCTGTCAGTGGATGAGCAATTGTTTACCCAGGTTTCCCTAGAAGAAGCAGAAGCCACGGTTGATTTGGATAGGTTAGCCCATATTATTATTTTTTCACAGTCTAAATGCCCACAGCATTTGACTTAGGCACCTATCCATTTGTAGCTTTAGTTCATCTACTAACAATGGCTAGATGTCATTGTTTCTATCACACACAATAGGTGACACGTTATTGTCTCCCTATATAATTTTTAGGATCGGAATTCTAATAAAAGTTAATTTTTAAACACACTACAGAATTGTAAATTATAACACAGATCCCAAAGGGACATTTTCTGTGACCCCTGGCGGTTGTTCTTTCCCTCCAGGGATTATTCGCTCTATAGTTTATCACACATTTGTGAGGGTTACCTCCTGCTGTGTTCCCTCCATACACCCACTTGTTCCCTTAGGGGCACAGGTATACTCTTCACTTTGAGAGGGGGCATGTTTTGCCCTTCTTAGTGGGCCGCTGTAATAAAAAAAGCCCGGGCCAAATTTTTTTCCCAGTCCGGCCCTGAATGCAAACAGCTGAAAGTCTGTAAATATTGACAATCCACCTGATTTTCAATGGGAGTTAAATAATTTTGATTATAACTGTACATTTGGGACCTCTTTTGTTACCTTTTTCTGTGATAAAAGAGAAATAAGTATATTGTTGATGGGGATGAAAAGCTTCTAAGAAACAGATAGTTAACTTGTTTCAGACATCTGTCTAACACATCAGTTTAAAAATGAAAGCATAGATTGCATTGTGTTCAGTAATTAAATGGATTGATATTATATTATTTGTACACTAATCTGTAATAACTGAAATCGATATTCACAGAGGTAAACAACAGCTCCAATAAATATTTCTTATTTTTCTTGCATTACTTTATTCCATTATTTACCTGCATGTTTTGCCTTTGAAATGAATTCCAATTGGTTTTACTATTTACTTTAATATTTTTGAAAAAGGGGCTAAAGAAGACCCTACCTATCAGTGAGAGGGCATTGGATAAAATAAATAAACTGGAAAAACAAATGCTTTATGTTTATTAATTAATAAATGTAAAAGTTTCTTGTTTCAAGCCTAGGTACTCTTGCCATCATAAATATTTCTTCCCTTATTCCCTCCTATCCAAACCCATTACTCATCTCTGTATTAATATATTCTCTTCTTTGTTTAATACATTTATAGGTATAGGAAGAGAGAAAACAGAGAAGTTGTGTGCTAAAGGTCCAGTCCCTCCCTCTGCATCCGCCACCGTCCCCTACCTTATCTAGCTTCTTGGTATAGATTCTTCTTTGTTGATTTATTTTATCTACCTGTCCTTGGAGAGAGAGAACACACTATTCTGTTTGATGTTGTATTGTTTATTATCCTATCTTTTATTATTTGCCCGTTACTTGGGATCTTCGGGATCCATATGAACTTTTACATTATTATGCCGGTTCTATGAATTATGGATTCATAAGCCACGTATACATCTGTAATAAATAAAAAATATACAAAAATAAATAAATTTAAAAGTAAATAAATTAAATAAATACATAAAAAACATTCCCTTTTTGTTTGGTCATTAAATTCTGGTCAAAATCTATACTATTCCAACACAACTATTATAAAAAAAAAAGTCACAAATCACAGAAATCCACCACTACTAAATATAGGTTAACTAAAAAAATCCTGGACACCCAGTCTGATGTCTGGTGGTTGTGCACTGACTAAAATTCAATGTGATAGAGGCTTTTATTCACGTCTGGCTTGAAAACATCAAACTGTCTTGGTAACCAGTGCACTGAGGAACGTAGCAGTTATGCAGTAACTGGTTGCTATTCATTCTTATGACTATGAAATCATGACTCTATTTAGTAACCAGCATGGTTTCGCTCTGATCAGAAACCTTTACTATTTGACACTGTGGCAAACAAGCTGTAGCGGATGGCACTGGGCTGTCCTGGGAATTGTATTGGTTTTTACTGTATTCGTCTATTTGACAAGTTGTAGGTGTAATAATGTACTGTATTCGTCTGATTGTTCTGTAGAATCATTCTAACAAATAAGGGAGTGCAACTACCGAACAGTCAGACCTCCCCGGTGTGAAGTGTGCCTTCAATTACCCGTTGCAACATTGTTGTGAATGGGCAATTGACAAGCTGTACAGTAGCCCTTTGTTCTCGGGGGTGGCCGCCATTCGGGAAACGAACACATGCCGGCGGACATGTTAAAACTCCCGAACAGCCGTGTTTTGCCGTCGAGTGTCTGTAACTCAAAACAGACACTCGACTAGGCGAACACCGCTGAGACCTCCACCAGCCCGGTCCGTTCGGTTCCAAACTACCCCTCGTTCGGTAGACAGAAACAACCGAACGAGGGGATTCAGGCGAACCCTCCCCAGTCTCTGTAACTAGAGGCTTTCTTGTGATTTATTCCCTTGTTCCAAGATCGACCACAGGGCCCCATCGCATGGAGCCCAATTCGGCTATTCCTTTCAGCGCGGTCGGTCATTTTATTCCCTCCATGAATTTCCCGAACCCCTGGTCTGATCTGGGTGATTTTTGGATATGTTGTTCACCCAGATCAGGGCTACCAGAGGATGTATAATTTAAAGTGGTACCCCTAG